CTTCGTACCGGTGAAACAAGTCTTCAGCAGCCAATCGAGATACATTGGCTGAGGAGCTGAATATTCAGTGTGTGTGTGTGTGTGTGCACACTACTCAAGTCCCCAACGCAATTGTCATGCTCGGCAATGGAAGTCAAACCGCACTGTTTTACACATTCCCCACGGTTGTTAACACAAGCATGTGCGCGCGCACATCAGCGACAGCGGCGGTGGCCGCTCATAACAGTGAGATCGAGGAGCGGCGAGCCATTCGAATGTATGTGCAATGTGTACAGTTGAACGATATCACGTTCGTCTATCACACGCCTATCACGATCAGGTTCGCTGGTTGTGCGTGCGTACAGGTCTATTTTTGGGTAGCGCGGTAACTTTGAAGTCAAACATTTCCAAATCCGCATGATTAGAAAAAAAACAATGCATTGACTTGAGCGTCGGGGACTATTATCAGGGTTGGCCTAGCTCTATTGGCAAGTTAATACACGTCTTATCGATAGCAACGCAACAACCAATACCGTGATGGAAAATAAATAATTAGCACAACGGTTCCGTCTTGCTGACAAACACAATTCCGATGAGAAAAACGGGCAGAAGGGTGTTTGGATGGCGTTTTATTGTAACCAGCTGAATATGCGGCAGGTTCTAATTCAAGAGTCAGGCGGCACGTTCTGACTACATGCTACAGATCGCATGCAACGGATTTGTTAATAATTGGTGTATACACGGTCAATTCCGCTCGTGCTCTGGGATGACGCATCTCTATAAAGTCGTCAGTAGGACGATGAATTTCAGAGAGAGAGGGAGAGAGAGGTGGATAGACAGACTGACAGAAAGACTGACCGACCAATATGCGTACGCGCACGCACGAGCGCACACACCGACACCCGTACAATGTAAGGAAACGGAACGCATTAATCATTACTCCTAATAGGATAGGGTTCACATAGTTTAGTTAGTGATGATCATTTGCATTCAATCACAAAGTTCTCCAGGTTGGAATGCAAGTCCTGAACGTGCGCGATAATGATGATCACGTTCGACGGCTAGTTAGATCTACATTGATCATTCAACTCAGTCCGGTACCGAATAAGCTTGGCCAAGGTAATGACTGACAACCGGTTGGGCTGAGGATATTTAGCCGAGAAAAAGAGTAACGATGAATTCACATTTAACTCACAGTTAATTGTGAGTAGTGATGTGAAATAACTGATATTGGCTGTTTATAACTGCGTGAAGGCGAGGTTTGAAGGATGAGCCGTTCCAATCAATCAATTAATCAATCAATCAATCAGTCAGTCAATCGATTATTCCATACTACTACCCACAAGTAACTGTGATTTAAATGTGGATTATTAACCCAACCTAGTAGGCTTGTGGCCAGTTAACCCGTAACCTACATGGAATACCTGATTTGGTAAGAGGCTTTCAATCGGAGTAAATATATAATTAGTCAAATTTTTTTATTTCTCACTTTCGTGTGATGAACAGCAGACGGGAAGAGTCCCATAGTCACGAGAACCTGCTGCTCAGTGATGGAGACCGGTAACCTAAGACCCGCAGGACTTGGAATCGCGAACCACATAAGGACCCGATAAGTTAGTTGTGGTATTGAACCGGACGACGGTACAGCTGCCTACTACCAAAGTTGGGTGGTGGTGCGGGGCTCGAACCTCGGATCAAAGGGTCTAAAGCACGCGGTTGATAGCAACTAAATCACTGCGCCACCCGTGACAATTCGGTTCAGCCCTAGCATGACTTGGTTGGCAGTGGTAACACATGTCTTTCATGCCCGATGGGTCCGGAGTTCAAAGCCCTGATGGGGTTGTGAGTATGAACTAGTGATTAGCTAGTAAGATCGGGACTCGAGCCTAGAGCTTCCGAGTGTACGGTTGAATGGAACAGTTGAGGATTGTGCGTGAAGGTAAAGTCTAAAGGATGATCAGTTCTAATCAATGAATCGCAATAATTAATTCATTTGAATAAAACAATTAACACAATATGAGCATATTTGATATTGGCCATCAATTTCGCGTGCTCTCATTATCGACCAGAATGAGTGAGCATGTTCCGAACAACTTATCGCTTCAGGGAGGAACGCTTCCAGCAAGCGCAGTGGCACGAAATTTACTGG